GTGCATGCACAAGATGAAAATAGTACAGAATAAGTAGAGCCCAAACGCCTCGGGCTTAATGCTTCTGGTTACTGTCACTAAAGATCTACTCTAAACACCATGTAAGCCTCTTTGTCTTAAAGATTAAGAGAAAATATGTGGTTCTCGTTTTGCTCTCCAGACCCCCACTGACAACATCCTCAGTCCATTTGAAGACCTTTTCCTGAGATGCCATGAGTAGATGAAACATGCAGATGTTTCACTTCGAAACTGATAACAATGATTTAATCCTGAGGAGGAAAAAATGTCACAAAGGTTTGTGAACTGGACTGAATGTTCGGAAATGGCTCTTCAAACAAGAGTGGTGACAATGGCAATGTAACRTTCCCCAGAGCAGGGGAAATTTTCATACATATTACCATAATATTGTAGAGAAATATACTAAATGTATGGTGTTGAGTTATCACCACGTTGCGAAGATATTTGGGTCTGTTGTGAAATTTACTGGACATAGCATGGCCTAATCCCTGAGATCATCTGTCATTTGAAGGCATCTACACATTAAATACACTTCCTTTGTCTTACAATTCTGTACTTTTTAGACAAGATGAGAAAAAAAATTTCATTTAGAATTGGTGCCAAAAGAAATTCATGACTTATTTTCTTTTCTTTCCTTTTAAATGTGATTGTTGTCAAAAGGAATAGAGCACAACAATGCCTCGTTCAGTTCTTGTTGCATTCAAAGGCATAGCTAGAAGGGCTTGGGGAAGACCGCTCGCTGCTAGGGGCTGGTGGGCACAGACCAGCTAGAAAGTGAATTTTGCATACTGTACGGATCATCGCCCAGTTCAGCGCAGTCACATTGAATCTGCCGTCAACCAATTGTGCTTCATGAAACCGTCAACCCTCATTTACGTCTGCCTGTTTTCCTTCCAACACAGCTGTAAACAAGGCCCCGGCTCGGAGCCGTCTCCCTCTGTCCCTGYGCACGCCGCCTGCCAGGGGAGAGCGGGGCAGCAGAGACCCCTCCTCACCCAAGCACTCCGAGCTACCATTTCCAGACAAAGTGACAAAAAAGTTTTCTCAAGCTTGACACCGATTTCCCTGCACACGATTTGGTTTTCGCCAAAATTGGCACAAAAAAACAAAAATACACACACAGTTCATTGCATATTTTGCTAACAGACATGGATAATTGCATTACTCGCCATTAAACACGAGTGATAATCACTATATTTTAAAGTTGTGAAAGTCTCACATGAAAAACATAAAAACGGCTTTATCAATGAAAATGTCATAAGAAAATTGAAACCAACTACAAAGCATCATCATTTAAATGACCAAAGATAAGGTTAGCATTTAGTTTCAAAGACCTAAAAAGGCCGCTCTAACATTAAAACATCTTAATTTATAGAGCAACCTTATGTGTGCACGGTAATTGGGAGCCACCAAACAGTTTCTGCTAAATAACAACGGCGTCAGTGGGTGCAGACAGAAAACATAATTAGTATTCAAGCTTAATTAATCTACGCTGGCCCCCTTTAAGTCAATGAGTCAATTATTTATGCATGTATGCTCCTTTGATGCTAACAGATTATGTATGTTGCTGAAAAAAAAATCCTTGAGAAATGACTTTGAAAACTTTCCACCATAAAATGTCACCACAAGCTTTTTGCTGTGAATTTATTTCACAGAAGGCCGTGATGGATTTATGGGCACTTAAAGCTGCTGTGATTTCTTTTACACAAAAATCCCTATGCATGATATGTTAATGCCCGTCAGTTATATATTGACATCTTATTGCTTAAAATAAAACCCATATTCTGGAAAAAAGTTTTTAGATTACGTAAACATTAGAAAGCGTATCAAATGTTGAAACTATAACAAAATAGAACTTTTTTAGAAAAAAGTTAAAGTTTAGAATTTTATGTCAGAAAGCATCTTAGAAAAGTTGGGATAAATAATAATCAAAATGTGGAGAACCGAGGAAAATATTTTGCCGGGAAATGTTCGTAAATACACGTGACTATGTACACTGGACACTGTTGYGCGTACAAACTCTTCAGTTGTGTTTAAATTTAAATAAATTTGGTAAAACAGCATCAAACTTCACCGACACTGAAGCGCAAATCATTGTGCTACGGTTCTTATAACAGTGACTCTGGATACACCCATCGTGCCTTCATGCAAGTAGTATTTTTGACCACTTTTGCCAAGCTAAGATGCTAGGCTAACTGCTGTATTCAAGCAATGGGACGAGCTGAATTTGACTGGAAAAAGTGCAACCGTAGACTTAACGTCTGCTCCAAACATTAAATCAGGTAAAAGACCAACACTGCACCACCCGGATCCTATCCCTGCACTTTCTGTT